AGTTTCTCAAGCATTTTAGCTCGGATGTAGAGTCAGAAATGGGTCGATGGCTGTTTTGTGAAGTGGGATCAGCACCTTTTTAGTAAAGGTAGTACAAAGGCTCTTTTCCAAATCTGAGGAACAGTATTGCTTTGAATAAAAATATGTGACACTGGCTGAGCTGTGAGACCTGCAGTGAGGAGCGAGGTTATCAGTACAGGCTGATTTCTGGAAAACTTCACAGACAGAAATGATCAAGTTAAATACACAGTAATAAGTCGGTTTGTGATGACTCATTTGTTGCATCACCTGAGAGGCTGATTTACAGCTACACTGAGCCAGATATGAAGTGAAATGCAAGTCTTACTTTTTAATGGCCAAACCCCTAAAGGCTACATCCAAAAAAAAAAAAAACTCTCCGTAAAAGGATTAAAATTAGATGAGAAATCACCTATTCTCTCCTCAATCCCTCAATGAAGCAAAACGCCCATCCATGTTAATTCTTACTCTTCATGTTTGTAATTAACACAGCGAATGGCCTCCTTGCACAGTGCTTTGACCTTTGTTACATAATTACCAGGAGGCAGTGATTTTTAATGGACCTCCTCTATTCGGTTACATAATCACACACGTACCGTTTGAATGTGAGGAGTTACCAGCTACCTGAGGAAACTGTGATGATAACGTAATGAAATGAGGCAGGGCTAATGAGACAGGCAAAGTATTCCTCCACCACCGCCCACCCCACAGGGCCCTTCATCATCTCCCCTTTGCCAGGATGTTGCTGAATCATAAAGACGTCCACCCCGCCTGCCTCTCACTTCGCTTTGGACTGAAAGCATGCCACGTCTCTGTCTGTCCTCATTTCTCCCATTTCCTCTGCCTACCTGCCTGTAGCTATGTAGTATTTATCCTCTTTTTTTCTGAACTAGCTCTCATTTCTTCACCTTCCTGCTGCTCTTGTAGACACTTTGACTTGAAATTTGTTCATTCACTTCTCCTTGTGAGTTTTGGGAAGTGAATGATAGTGGTACTTCAAATAATTCAGCTCCACTTTTTAAGCTTCTGAAGTGAAATCACTTGACGCTGGGAAATCTATGCTGATTTTTTTAACCTTTGCATGTCTTATTCCAGATTTACCACGTTTTTCATGTCAAAACTGTACTTTTTCAAGTTGACATTTCCAAACTTAGTCATATTGTTGAGCCCCTTTTAGAGAACAAATGCAAAACATCACGAAAAATTGAAAGGTTGATGTATCCATCATTAACGGTTGGATAAATAATAAATTCATTTGTAGATGGATGAACAGTTAGATAAAAAATGAAGGGGTGCATGGATGGACAGATGAATAAGTGGAAAGTAGATTTGATTGAAAGATAAAAACATGGATGGATATATGGATAAACAAAGGATAGAATGAGATGGTTGGATGTATAAAAGGAGTGGGTGTTTAGTTTGATAAATGGATTAAAATATAGATTAATTAATAAATAATGAATGGCTGAATGAGGGACAGATATGATGATTATTACTATTATTATATTATTATATTATTTTCATTCTGCTTCTTTAAGTTCCGGTGAAAAAACCTTTTCATGCTCATGAGAAAAATAAGACATATTGGTAACATTGAACATCTTTGAGATTGAAAGAACTGTAAAAATCTCTCACTTTGGAGCAACATATCTACTTATCTTTAGAAAGGCATATTTCTCACAGAAAAAAATCATCTAAATATGCAGACATGTTTCCATAATACACTTCCTTTTCCCTGCATATTCAGTCTTCAGCTCTTTACTCTTCATGACTGTGAGGGAAACCTGTATATACTTTGTGTTGATTAGATGTTGGTGTGTTTGCGTGAAACTCTCCAGAGTCTTCTTCATCTCCCGCTTCCTGGTTCTGGCCGCGTTCCAGCTGTCCTCTGCTTCCCGTGATGCAGTGTCCTTCAGCCTTAAAACACACTGTGACTCAGCTTGGATCAAAGATTCGGAGCTGTTTACCTGCTACTGTGAGAAAATGACGCAACTGGACAATATGTCTGAATTTCTCCAAATGCAACTGCAGAGCTAACGCTAACCTAATACTTTCTGGTGTCTCCGTGCATTTCCTTCAGGGAGCAAAGCTCAAATATAATCATAGTAAGACTTGATGTATTATTGAGGATGAAAACTCAACGGGAATTCGCAGAAAAGTGAATTTCATACATAAAGGAGAGAGTGTAGAGAGGAGGGAAGGGAAAAAAAAAAGCCTCGGCTCAGAAAGTGGGCCACAGAAGCTGCCATGTGCGCGGGTGCAGCCGTGAAATCAGCCTGATCCAATAGATTCTGTTTATCTGGCACAACTACAAGTGAAAGCAATTGGAAATCTGGGGGAGATTTGGAGAAGGCTGTGATTCAGGAAGGGGGGGGGGGGGGGCGAATGAGCAAAAAAGTAATACTGTCTGCTCTCCAGTCTGGCAAAGCAGGCGTTTGTTCAGATCAGACCTTAACAAGGTTAATGGTGATATTTCTCCACAGGTTCATTTTTACTGTAAAAGTCTCCTGCCTTTCTTTCCTTCCCTCTTTGTTCCTCTCAGTCCAGCTCCTTTAAGCTGCTGCTGCTCCTCATCACATCCTTTCTGTGCCACCAAAGTTCGCTATTTTCCTCCAGGCACTAAATGCAGCTGTTTAGAATCTACATAAAGCAGCGCTTTTTTATATTCTTAGTACAGTTAAATTGCATTCAACGACTTTGATCTTCAAAAATCAGTCAGCCCCATAACACCTTAAAAACGTATTCAAAGAAGTGAATACCTCCTTTTGAGTGAACAATCAATTTCACATGTTAAAAGCAAAAAGATTTTTCTACATTTCATACTTGGAATAAAGGCAAAGATGACACAATGAAAGATCAGCAAATACCGATGTCTAAAATCACGAATCAAATATATTATTAATGAAACAATATGTGTTCACACCTGAATAACCAAGGAGTCAACACACTTATTATCATAAGGGGATTTATTTAGCATAGAAAACATAGATCCCCATATTTGATTACCTCTAATAGCAAAAATCTTTATAAAACTTTTATACCTCCATATTGTAATAGTTCTAACACCAACACTGGACATACACTGGAAACCATCTTAGCATGGAAGTTCACAGTTGGGGTTCAGTTAATCAGCATTAAGGAAATTTAATGTCACTCCTGGATTGGCTGCTTTGGAAACACAAGCCAACAGTTAATTAAAATTCCATGCTGCATTTTCTTCGAAATATCTTATGTATTCTGACAAAAAATAATAAATGAATGGGCTGAGGTCCAGTGTATCAGGAGCATATCAAAAACATAAAGAAAAAGTTAAGTAAAAGTTTATTTATGTATTTTTTACAGATAAAAAAAATCACAGTGTTTCTCAGTGACTATAAACATTAAAACAATGAGTAATGAGTAAATTAAATTAAGCAAATAATTAAAAATATATCAGTATTAGTTCTTTTTTTTTCTGATCCATCTGCAGTTGTTTTCTTTCCTAAATGATTTGAAACATTTAGGTGTGGCAAAAATACAACAATAGAGCTAACTAATCCTTAAAGGGAGAAACGTGGCTGAGTTAAGACTACATTCACATTCAGGCCTTGCACACACAGAGCCGAGTCTTTCTAAAAACAAAAATCTCCAGCACATCATGTAAAAAAACATGCACGATACCGGTTTCAGAAAAGATATCATCCTCATCACTGAGTGTTGATTTAAACATGCCAAACCTTTAGGGGGCAGTATAGCCCAAAGCTAAAACCGATTCTAGTCAACGGGGTATATGCCACGGACTTCCGTTTTAGCACTTCCGCATTTTTTTGCCACAAAGAATGGTTCCGGTGCACAGGCAACAGTATGTTAACTGTGGCTCCTCGGTCGCTGCAGGACTATTTATGTTGCTTATATAATTATTCAGACGTCCTGAAACGCTCCAACAACAACAAAGGATTTAAGCTGGATGTGTCAAAACGTCACTATAACTTCGAAGGTAAGTTAATAAATCGTTTGTATTCACCATAATGCCTCATATGTATGATGTAGCTAACAGGGACAAGCTTACGAAGGTGCTATGTAAACGTTAAGTGTTTTGATTATCTGTGCAATGTGCAATATACATATCTATGCTTTATAGATAGATATATTTATATATCTATATATAAACATATATAGATCTGTCTATAATGTGCCCAAGTTATCAGTCGAAGCTGAAGTTAGCTTCCGAATGTAGCATCTAATTCGGAAAATAGCTAAAGGGCGATTACACTAAATTTTTCACTATCTTGAGCTTTTTTTAATGAGTTGTACTTTAAAAACAACACCTAGACATTTCAAACCTAACTAGATTATTCTGTACTAACAGCAGATAAATAAAACACTTGTGAAACCTTCTAATTGATTTGTGAAATTTGTAAAATGTCAATAATAGATTCCAGAACGCATTAGATCTGAATTATTAAATTGGCATCATTTGTTATTTTAACTTTCCGTTTTCTTTCTTTTTTTAAAATCTTTATTATAGTTGGAGTTGAACAGGAGTTCTGTTTGATGGCTTCCTGGAGGGAGGGATCGGCTGAGCTAATGTTGTCAACAACTTTTCTCCTGCTATTAACTTTTTTGCTTTTCTTTATATAGAAAGTATTTCTATCAGTTGCTCTTTTTC